CGGTGCCCCCAACTCCCAACCCAGCCAGCCTATCCAGAAGGACACCGTGTTCGATGGTGTCGAAAGCTGCTGAGAGGTCCAGGAGTATCAACAGGGTCACACCCTTGTTAGTGGCTGTGGCTGTGGCCTCACCGTTCCTGTGGTCCAAAAGCAGCTTGTGTTCCATTGGGCACTCAGATTTCTGGTACTGCCTGGCAGTCAGAAGCTCTTGCATGTTGCCTGCTGTTTCAGCTTGGGTGTTGTGTGTTTTGTCTTCTGCTCAGGATGCACTCCCTTCCTCTGAGCCCCCGAAGTATAACTTCACTCCCAGCTCTGCCCTCAACAAAACAGCCCGGCCCTTTGGAGTTACCTGTGCTCCAAACTGTCAGCCCGGGCTGGTGATGAAGCCTGTGCTGTACACTCCCTCTACGTCCATCTGCACCACACAGCACAATGGGTACGTTGCTGGGCTTCTAGGCATCCTGGATCACAATGTGTAGGGTGGGGTGAGGGTGGGCTAGAGTGATGTTTTTGCAGAACACCATCTCACTATCCTACTCACAGCTCTTCCCTTCCCATTTGCCCACACTGCATGTCAGGCTGTGCATGGGTGGTTTTCCATTGGGTGGGCATGGGTGGTGCATCCCAACAAGGAGAATCTGCCGTCATACTTAATCATCTGGTGTCGCAGTGACCTCTGATGGCTGGAGCTAATATTGCAGTGCTTCAATCCATTCAGAGACCTGCCTTACATGTTTGGTCTTGAATGTCTGCTTAAATGTAAGGCCATTAGCAACTCTACTTTTAGAATGTTCTGCCTATTTTTGGCTAGCTTCATGTCTCCTCTGAAAATTCATATGCAGCAGCTTGGAACATAATGATACATCTAAGAACCTATATTTGTCTTGATCTACCAAGACAAAATGATTGCTGGATTTTTTTTTGTGTGAATGATCGTGCACTGTACTAGAGGGCCTGCATGCATGCATTGGATGTTCCCTACAAGTGGGATGTATGTTGCTGACTCACTATAATGGAATGAACGTGGTTTTTGGATCCATGTGTGTATTTCCATCCTCCTCTGTTCTCTGGCAAGCTATAATACAGTTAGGTTCCAAGCTGTCAGCCCTTGGTTGGATATCAGGTCCCTCACTGAGCACTCTTAAGCTAAAAGCTATTCACTCAACCAAGGTGGTAAATGATTCACCTCAAACATGCAAGCCCTTTTGGTCACTTTCCAGAGCTGTTCAGTTTAGAACAAAATCTCATACTGTTCTGGGATTATTTGTGTTCTTTGGTGATGAGCAACACAGTGTTATCATGATAATCTTGGCTTTCCAGCTTCTTAAGAAAGGGTTATAATGAAAAAATGTCAAGTGCAAAATGAATCTCTATTTGAGCCCATACCATTTTCTGTTCTACATATCTTAAACTGGCACCTTCTTGCCTTCTTTCCTGCCTGCACCCATCTCAGTTGTGTGTATGCATATTTGGGGGGGGGTGTATTTGGGACACCTGCCAAGACTTTTTCTGCCATCTGCTGGGGGAGGAGTATGTGAAGAAGCCCCTCTGAGGGACCCTTTGAGCAATTAGATGAGAAGCCGGTGGGTCTTCCATAGATGTTGCCTCTGAAGAATTTGTATAGAAGGAGATGCTGGCAGAGTGGGAGGAAGGGAGCGGAAGGAGAAAGGAAGACTCACAAAGAAAAAGACAGTATTTTGATAACCAAACCCTGGGTCATGGTAGCTATGCAGGAGGAGTACTTTAGCTACATCACATGCATTCCTGGCCTCACAGAGAATCTCTTTGTCCTAGAAATGCTGGGGGTGTAGGCGAGGTTGGTCTGGCTTTAAACCACATACTGTATTTCTGGCCAAGATGAGCTTCTTGGGTCTGGGTGGAAACTTAATGCTTAACTACATGCCTGTTGGTGGAAATGCTGATGTAGCTGAGTCCTCTCAGTATAGTTTCATCTCCTGATCCTAGCAAGAGATGTATATAGCAAAGTGGTGATGATCCACTGTGAACATGCCAAGTATCCCTTTGCTGCTTTTTCAGCAAAAGCTTTCCCGTGAGCTGTCTTGTCACCAGGAAGCAGGTTTGGACTAAGGAAATGGGAACTTTTAGCAGCAAGGGATTCTACCATTTAGATGCCCTCCCTTCCCTCACTGAAGTTTTGTTATGTATTTACTGATTTTCTCGGTTCTGCAGTTTTAGGTGTCCTAAAATATTTTTCCAAGACAATTCCCTCCAGAATGTGTTAGATTATGTCTTTTATTGTTCATAGCCAACATGAATTGTAGGGAAAATACTCTGGCACTTTGAAAACAATTGAGAGACTGAAAGTTTTCATAGAGAGAATATGAAAGAATTGTAATAATTGTCTTATAGTTCTAACCTGCCTTTATCTTTCCTGTCTGCCTTTTTTCCCCTCTTTCCCCCCTCTTTCCCTCTCTCTTTCTCTTTCCCTCTCAGGTGCAGAAACCTGACAAGTCAGTAAGCTTTTTGCTGTTCTTACCTTATGTATATGCCTTATAATTTGCATGACGTAGTGTAGACTCCTCATTGCCTGTCATGTTTCTAGTTTCACTCGTCTCCTACTCCCTATCTTGCCCTGTGTAAAGAGTGTGTAGTTGTGAGGGGGCAACAATTCTTCTCCCAGCCTCCAAAAACACAAACCCAAATGTGGCTTGAGGGCATATGTTTGGGAGGAGGGACGAACAGAAAAGGAAAACCTGGTGGTTGTTGTAATGCTTGCAGTGGACTTGGACATGGTGACCTTTTCCCCCCTATAGTAAGAAGGGCAATGTTGTTGGGTTTTTTCTTTTCAGTTTTGTCTTGACTGAACTTCCTTGGTTTGTGCTGGAGTCTTCCTGAATGACGCTGTGGTTTGTCATTTCCCAGGGGTCTAGTTGAGATGGAAAAGCCTGTTCATGTGAGGGAGCTGGCTGGAACGTGATTGCTGCCCTGAAGTTGAGAATTGCACCTTGAATGGTTTCTGAGGGGAGGGTTCAAGCAATTCCACAGGAATGGGACAATCTGATGTGGCTCCTCATAGGGCTCAGTCATCTATAGCTGTGACTGCCTGACCCAGATAAGAGAGAGGAAGTGATGCTAAATTTGGCAGGGAGTCGTGTGGTTTCTCTTTTTCTCTGTCAAGCTGGTGATGCCTCCAGTAACGCTGACTATCTCTCAGATACGTTCATTTTTGTTTGTGCTGCAGCCCTGTGAAGGGATAACTTTTCTTACCTGACCTGTACTCTCCTTTCTCTTATTCTCTTGCTGCTCCCGACCTCAGGGTTAGTGCTCACCCCACCGAGGTGAAGGCTCCACCCCAAAGCAATCCCATCCCTGATTATGGAGATTACTACCTGGAAGACCAGTAAGATTTGGGGAGAGGGGAGGGAAGGATGACATGATCTAAGGATGTTATGTTATGTTTCTTGCATGAGCTGCTGCTATTGTGAGCTATGATAGTGCCTCCTTTTCAATTTTTTATTTTTATTATTTTGAAAAATAGCCTTGTAAACTGAAAGAAGCTAACACCTGGATAGCCACAGCTAGAATTCGGGGCCTTCAAACTCAATAAAAATCTCAGTCTGAAGGGACAGCATGAGAGTGGTGCAGAGAAGTTACACTAGTGCTACAGCTGAGATGGAAGAGTGAGTTCCAGCAGTCTGGTAACATTTCAAGCTGCCCATGGCTCCATGCTGCAGAATCCTGGGATTTTGGAGTTTTATGGGGCAGTTAAGGGTAGCAATCTGCTCCTCTGACTTATGGCAACCTTATGAATGAGAGATCTCCAAAATGGGCTATCCTCAGCTGCCCTGCTTATCTCTTGTACTCAAGCCAGTGGTTTCCTTTAGGAAATCAGTTCATCTTGTGTTTGGTCTCCCTCTTTTCCTGCTGCTTTCCACTTTCCCCAGCATTATTGTCTTTTATAGAGAATCCTGCATTCTCAGGATGTGCCCAAAGTAGGTAAGCCTCAGTTTCAACATTTTTGCCTTCAGAGATAGTTCAGGCTTGATTTGCTCTAGGCTGCACCTGTTCGCTTGTCTGTCAGTCTAGGGTATCTGCATAGCTCTACGTCTACTCGGGGCGGCTTACAAACATTGTCTGCATAGCATTCTTCCTGCACTATATTTCAAAGGAATCCATTTCCCCCCTTTCATACTCATACATAGTGACTGGAAATACAGGAGTGTGGATGATGTTGGTCTTGGTCTCCAGTGATATATCCTTACAACTCTCGCATCATCCACAGAATTACAGCAGAAAATTCTAAGCCCTTCACCAAACTGCCCGGCATTCTACGGGATGGAGGCATGGTGGTTAAAGTGAGATCAGACAGTTATAACTGGGTAGTGTAGATACACAATCTTAAAAAACAATAAGGTCTCATGAAGAGTCAGGCTGTTGGTGCATCCAGAATACTATTTACTGTAGAACAGTACTCTGCTTTTGGTACTCATACTCTGTTCTGCTGGTACTCTCTGCTCTAGGGTAAGTCTGCCAGTGACTATTAGTGCAGATCCTCTGTGCCCAGAGTCTTTGCTGGGGTACAATTAATTGGTTTTCTCCACAGGTGGGTAACGTGGAGCCATCTGGATCTTGCTGCACTTCCCATCGTCCCTGACCATTTGCTATTTTGTAAAAACTGATGGGAGTAGGAGTCCACAGAAATCTGGAGGGATGCAGGATCTCTTGTATCTGGTTTCTGTACCTCCCTTTGGCCACCACTGGCTTAGACTGACTGACATTTCAGACTGATTGAGCAGACCTCATTTTCTTGCTCTTAAGTGGCAGGGATTTCCCCCCTAGGTTTCATGTTTGAGATGCCAAGGGTTAAAACGTAGAATGTTTTTTTAAGTATATGCCCCTGAAACTGTACTGTACTAAAAATATAAGGAGGCACATGTAGAATTCAAACCCCTTGTGACTCCATCCCATGGCATAGATTGTCAATCACTTGCTGAAATCTGTCTTCTGTATGTGTGCCTTTCTCCGTGGATGGTTAAGCAGCCCCAATGAGAGAGGAATGGGGAGGAATTTCAGGGTTTATTTACTGCCTCTTCAGGGCAGATTACTTGGTTGTAGTTGTTTGCGCTGTTCTTCAGAGTTATGAAACAGTGGCCATGTCCTGATATGTGCAGGCGCTGATGTCTCGGGTTTTGTGCTGGCTGCAGTGTGTGTGTATCATGCATGCCTGGCAGCCACTCTTTCCAGTGCAGCCCTGGCTTAGTGCCCTTGTCTGTTTGTAGGCACTCTTTGCGGCTGGTGAGCCTGCCAGCCTTCCTTCCCAGTGACTCCAGCAAAAAGAGACTTATTGAGGGCACGGAGGACTGGCGGCCACGGACTGGCACTACCCAGTCCCGTTCTTTCCGTATCCTGGCCCACCTGACGGGCACAGAATTCAGTAAGTGCCTCCTCCGTGTGCTGGGGGTGCAGTTGGTGGTGGGTGCATCATTCGTCCACTGTGTTCCTGTCAGTGGCTTGCTCCAGGCAAAGAAGCAGCAGGAAGTAATAAGCGTTCAATACTGCCAGCTGGAGGGTGATGTTGCAGCAGTGCCGGAGCTGTTAAGAGCAACTCTGGCCCTCTTCCACATGCATTCTGCACCCTACCCAGTTGGCACCGGCCAGTTTGGGAGGGCTTTGCAGCCAAACTGTCCTGCAGCCATAGACAGGAGCATGCAGTCTCCTGCTCAATGCCCAGCAATGCTCTCTTGGCCTCATTCTGTCTCTGTGTGCTGCTGCTTTAGGACCTCTGCAGGCACCTCATCCTAATTCCTTCTTATCATTGCTGATGCCAAGTCCTTCTATCCTCCAGGGAGCATGCTTATTTTTTGCCTAATGGTTCCTTTCCATTTTTCTGCTCAGAAAACTTAAAATAACCTAGCTCGTTCAGGCCATGATATTCTTTCTCTCTCCTTTCCTTCTGCTGCTGTCAGTGCAAGACCCGGATGATGAGCATGTTAGGAAAGCCAGGTAAGAAGCTGTCCCACTCCAAGCACCCACTATGGCCCCCTGTTTAGAGCATGGAGAGTGGATTCTTGCCAGATGTCTCCACTCTGCTAGTGCTTGGGTTTGAAGGTGAAATGGATTGACAGTGTGCAGAACCACTTCTGGACTTTTGTAGACACTCTTGCACACCTGTAGACACAAGCGTACATTTTGTATGTATTGGGAAGATAGGAATAAAACCCTTTGGCTATTTTTCTTGTTTTCTGCAGTTTCAGTAGCTTAAGGCATGCATGAACTGCTGTCCTGTTTCTCTTTTTCTCCATCTCAAATGCTGCCTTTTTCTTCCCACCTGTCTATCTTTTTGTTTTCCCTCTTTTTTTTTCCAGAGAAAAGTTTGTCTCAGATCTTCAGAGCCCTCGTTACACTCACCTGCGTGACTGGCATCACCAGCGATCAGCTACCTCTCTGAATGTCCTCTCCTAAGCAGTCTCAGACAACCCTATGCTCTTCTGACTCCACCTCTCTCTAGTGCATGGCTGATGTTATGGGGAAGGGTGCACCTCTGCCTGTCTCCTTCTGTCTGTTGAATGAAACTTAAAAAAAAACAAACTAGAAATCCACAGTGACTTCTGGAATGAATGGAGTGATGGATCCTGTATTGGAGACTGACGTGGGAGGGAACTGGAAATAGGCAGGAGGTTCCTTTCCTCCTTGACAACCTTTCAGGCTGAGATTCCTCCCGTCATGTGTGGGTGGAGGCTTGGTGCTCCAACTCTATGATTGGGCAGGACAGTGGGCTTCCTCAGCAGTAAAAATGCTCTGGTTGATAAAAGACTGTTTTAATTGTTTAAAAATTCCTTGAATAAGGGAGAAGACTGGAGACCTTTGTTTGTTTGTAGCCTTCATATATTTAAGTAGGAAAACTATCTACCGATGCAAGCTTGCATTGCACAGAGAAGAAGCCTACTGTCCTTCCTTTGGATTTGTGAGGCATGACTTTTTTTCAAGAGTTCCCAGCATTTTCTTTCCTGATTGAAACATTTCAAATAAAAGAGAATCTTTTTCCAACCACACATGTGTATGACTGGAAAGAAACTCCTGGGTTGCAGAGTTCATATTGGATGTGGGGCGGGGGAGGTTTGCTTGGTGTTCCATTGACCATCCTTTGGTGGCTTCTCAACCAAGAGGTCAAGGATCTGAAATGAAACAAACTTCTCCTCTCAACAGTCCTCTCTGTCTCTTTGCAAGTAGCTAATAATACCAGTATCCTTCCCTTTCCTTCAGTGCAGCCAGTTTGTCCCTTTTCCTCTTTAGTCCAGCAACCACGAGTAGTTGTTAGTCAAAAACAGAGCTCATGTCTCTCTGCCATGGTCTAATGAGATTGTGAGAACTTCCGAAACTACCTCCCTTCAATGACTCCTATAAGCAGTAGATATAAGCAGTCTTTGTCTCATCCTCCTTAACACTAAAGCAACACCAAGCGTGCCTTCGTTTTGCAAAACTCGTTGTACTGGGGTTGCAGCAGACTCTTAGGAATGGGCTTAATCTCTACAAGCACACTTCTTTCCATGCCTGGTGTGTTATTTGGCCCAGCGCATGGGAATATCACGAGCTTTTTTCTCTAGAAGGGGTTTTATCATTGTTTTGGCTACAGGCATGACACACAATTCAGCTGTTATCTGTACTGTACTGCAATCCACCCACCCACCCCGAGCCGCCTGGAACCAATGCCCAGTTTGCAGTCTGAATGGCTGGTGGGTTACTACCTTCTATTTTGTAGTAAGAATAAATGCTCATATTCTTGTAACTGTCTCCTGTCTCTTCATTGTTGTATCGGCTATTGGAAGTAGGAATGCTGGGTTCTTTCAGAGCTGATCTGGGGCCAGGAAGCCAAAGAGACCATTTTTCTACAATAAGCCTGTCATCTGTGAGGTCACTTGGAAGACAGCTGAGCAGAGTAATTATCTTTTCCCACCTGTGATCTTCAGGTGCTGCTGGATCCAGAGTTTCTTTTGGGACCAAGGTCCCTATTAGCAGTCTGGCACTGAGTCCTCTTCCTTTTTCTCACAATATTTTATGTCATAGTATAATGTTTTGTTTCAGCTTTCCAACATGGAATGGAGGGCAAGAAACAAAAAGCCAGAATTTAGCCTTCATCTATGATTTTAACATTTACTGCATCTCTTAGTTTGACAGCATCTTAGACAAAGTCTTTGGGTAGCTGAGTGAGAGATGAAGGTGTGCAGTGACCTGTCTACTTTTTGAAATGTCAGCACTTAGTCTGAAACAAGCCTGCAGGTTTATTATCTCCATGGTTTACAGCATTCTTTTGCTTCTCCTAGGATGAACGACGTGACACACTTCTTGCTGAGCTATATCAATTCACATTACTGGGGTGGGGATAGGATCAGCATCTCAAGTATGAGTGCATACTCTAGCAAGTTAAAAAGGAAAAGAAACTATCTTTGCTCATAGGTCTGATGAGGAGAGAACTCCCAGCCTTATTTTTTTCACCAATATGTCAGTCGCCTACATGCAGGGAGATTTGTGGGTGCATGGGCATGTTCCCTCCACCTCCAAACCACAAGGGTAAACATACTGTATAATTGCTCACTTGCACATAGACTGATACAGTTCAGAGGCAGAAATGCACACTGTTTTTTTTTCTTGTGTGGGGTGAATGTATCTCACACTCCTGGGAGGCCCCTCCCTCTTTCCATCCCACCCAGATATCTGTCTGAGGGCTCAGAAGGGAAGGATTGGAATAAGCACAGGCACTCCTCCTGTTCCCCATTTTTAGGATTCCTCTGTGTGCAGCGAGGAAGATACTTCTGCCTCTTGCAGCTAGGTCTCTGAACCCCTCACACTTTATCATGTTCACTTTCCACTTCCCTACTTCTAATGGGATTCTGCCCATGAGCAGACTGTCCCTTGCTGCTCTTGACCAGAAGGAATGTTTTGAGCCCAAGTGCTGATAACATCACTCTCCCTTTTTTCCTGTGTCATCTCCTGGGAAATGACTACCTCCACAGCTTGACTGTTCTCCCCTCACCATTGTTCATGTACCCCCCCAATTATTCCCCTTCAAAGAGGCATTTGTGTGACCATCAAAGATTCCCCTTCAACCATCTTCTCCTGCTTTGGAGTACACTGCAGTCTTGATTTATCCTTCCTGCAGACAGCCCAGGAAGCCCTTTTCCACACAGAGATCTTCGGATGTGTGAAGCCTTCAATTTCTTTGAAGGTTTAGGCTCCATGTTGAGGTACCATTTGCCAGAGCCCCTCATGAAGCAAGCTGAGTTTGTTCGCTGAAAGATTGTTCCAACCTACAGTACATCCCCACACCAAAAACGTTTAAAATAATTTTTTGAAAAGTATTGTGACGAAGAGGGCATTTGTGTGACCATCAAAGGAGGAGATGAGAAACTAAATATTTGTTACAGTAACATGGGGTTGGCTTAAATTTGAGGGAAATAGTGTAATTTTTTAAAGAATATAGCTTAGCAATACTTGCACTATGAGAAGGAAGCCATTAGAAGTTTTCAAGCAGAGGCAGAACAGGCCTCTGGTAGGTGAAAGAGATGGCCTGAAGACTCTACAACAGAGCAGGGCTCTGCATTCTTTTATCGAAGCAGGTGGGAAATATTTTGTGGATGTATGTGACAGAAAGGGAGAGAGAGCTCACCTCCCTCCCCTGCCCTGATTTGCTGCCTTATGTGAATCTTTGCCAGAGGAGAGCATGACACTGCTCAGGTTTAAGTGGCAGTTGATTACCACTGCTGAACTGTGCCCTGTTGCAATTCAGATGGATGGCCAAGCACTTACTCTAGCTAGCTGGCCTCAAGTTTCTTTTTTTTCCCCCTCTACAACAGAGCAGGGCTCTGCATTCTTTTATCAAAGCAGGTGGGAAATATTTTGTGGATGTATGTGACAGAAAGGGAGAGAGAGCTCACCTCCCTCCCCTGCCCTGATTTGCTGCCTTATGTGAATCTTTGCCAGAGGAGAGCATGACACTGCTCAGCTTTAATTGGCAGTTGATTACCACTGCTGAACTGTGCCCTGTTGCAATTCAGATGGATGGCCAAGCACTTACTCTAGCTAGCTGGCCTCAAGTTTATTTTTTTTTTCTTTATTTGTATCAGAGTGTGGCACTGTTCAAAATCATGGATGCACATGAAATAGAGGCAAAATAAAAAACCAGTTAAAATGTCAATACAATCAGATTATTTTTGACCAGAAGCAGTCAGAGCTTGAATGTGTGCAGAAACTTCCTCAACTTCAGCCTTTATCCGGGGGGGTTGTGTGTGTGTGTGTCAGCGTCCATTAAGTGGATGGGTTTGGTGCCGTTCCAGTGCAACACTTCTGGAAGAATTTGCTGGCTGCACACCATTGCCCAGAGGATGCCCAAGTACACTCACAATGCTTTCCCACTCTTTGAGGAGGCACCTTTTGTGTCCCTTCTCAAGTGTCTTCATCCTAAAGCATTTGGTAACACCCCACACTTTTATTTTTCATGGCACATTCTGTGCTACCATCCACCATCTTAGGTAAGCCTGCCCTGCAATCTGCAGTAGAGAGGCCTAGGGGGTTTTGCTTCCTGGTCACTCTGATGTCACCGTGGTGCTTGTATTTTTGGAATCTCTGCCTAGTTTTCTGACCTGGGTTCTGCCGTGTTTATGTTTGGAAAACAACTACTTGCGATGCATAGGATTCTTCCTTTTATCATAGGAGTGCTTCTTTTCCCTGTTTTACCCACCTCTGACTCAAATCCTGGCTGCATTGTCATCCAGATAAAGGGTTTGGGAGATTTTGATGGTCCTCTGCAAAATTTTCTGTCATATCCTACCTGTTTCAACAGACCAGGTCACAGAGACTTTCTTCTCTCGCCTGCATGTACAGTATATGGTGAGTGCAGTCATTGTGCTCAGTGTTCTGGAGGCACATGAAAGGTCCTCCCCTCTTTAGACTTTGTTGAACTGGGCTCTCTGTAGTGCTATGGAGAACAGAAGATGAGTTGTTCTCACTGTCTATAAATCAGGGAGGGAGTATCTTGCATCTCTTGTTTCTTTCTCTCTCGGCCATGTTTTGGCCAGGCTTCCTTAACAGTTTTGATTTCGCTTAATACAGTAGAGCCGTGTTTTTCTAATATGGCCCTAAAGAGCCAAACCAGCCAATAGGGGTCACTGCTACACAATGGGCATGGGTAGAATATGGAGCAACAGTTTGCTCCACTTGCTGTGACTTCTTTCATATTTGTGGGCCCCTTGAAATTTGGGAGTGTCTTTTTGATTAACCATCCCCCACCCCCAACCCATTGACTAACTGGCTAAACCTGATGGAAGTACCAGACTTGGTGTGGGTGTGGAGCAAAGGGCCCCAGGTGGTAATGGAACTAATTGGTTATTCTGTAGCCAGGTCTCCATGCCGGATCTGTCTTCTGCGCCATCCTTGAAAGTGGAGCCTGGATATGGTAAGCTGGGAGCACTGCAGTTGGAGGCATAAAGCACTTTGTAAGAGCACCCTTGGGGCCAGGGCAGTGGTGGGGAAAGCCTGGGGGCACTGGCAGCTGTTTTCCTACTCAGCAGAAGCCTTTGGGTGGGTGCTTTTAACTTGCCCTTAAGCCTTTGGCAAAATATAAATATTTTGCTGCAATTGAGTGGTGACCAGTTCTTTGTGAGAGAGGGTGGGTGCTTCTACCTAAATTTGAGTGCACCTGGGAGGAGTTTTCTTTTTTTGGGGGGGGGAACCACTTGCAGAAGTGCTGGGGGATTATATGAGTTGTAGTCTAAACCAGTAAGGGTGGAGATTATCATCAGTACACAAACAATACAGCATAGGCCCTGTGAATTTCAGATCACACAGGGGCCCAGTGTATTGTTCTAAATACAAAGGTCATGACTATTCCAGGTTCTGCTGCTACGAAACCTGCTCCTATCTCGAGCCCTACCAGTCGTCCCCCGTGGGCTGTAGATCCTTCCTTTGCTGAGCGATATGCCCCCGATAAAACCAGCACAGTGTTGAGCAAGCACAGCCAGCCAGCCACCCCAACACCTGTGCAGAACCGCAACTCCATTGTCCAGGCTGCGCAGCAAGCACCTGAAAGTGCCAGCAAAACACCTATCTGCTATCAGTGTAACAAGATTATCAGGTAAGCACTCCAGCTCTGCTGAGGAGAGCAGTCTCCTGCTCCCCTTGCCTCTCCTCCAGTTTGATTGACAGGTAGCTCTGTATGTGAACTGACTTCATTAGTGATTGTGGTCTGTAAGATGATAATGATAGTTTTTTTTTTCTGTGGTGGCTCCATCTTACATGTAAGTTCTTACTTGATGGAATAAGAATCAGTGTTGGGTTTATGCACAACCTGAGCTACAGCTTGAGGCTGCTGGTTATGAGATGCCTCTACAGTAAATGTTAAAGAACCTGTTAGAATAATATATATGTTTTTGCTAATGCCTCTTAAATTTGATGTATTGTAAGACCTCTGCCTGTCTTAAGTTCACCCTGGAAAGGATAATAGTAATGTCGCCATGATGTGTGAGCCAAACCTTTTTGTTTACTGTAGATTTATAATTATTTTATTTCATCACAACAGATGGGATGAGTCTTTCAACTCCATAAATGCTATTATTTGTATTAATAATATTGATAATACTAATAATATCTTATCTTTCCCACATGGACAAATATGATTCTGATATCTGGCCAGGTTCATCACCCACTCAGACCTAACCCTTTCTCTTTGCTTTCCTCTAGAGGGCGTTACCTGGTGGCCCTGGGCCGTTACTACCACCCTGAGGAGTTCACCTGCTCACAGTGCAGGAAAGTGTTGGATGAAGGTGGCTTTTTTGAGGAGAAGGGCTCCATCTTCTGCCCTAAGTGTTATGATATGCGCTATGCCCCCAACTGTGCCAAATGCAAGAAGAAGATTACGGGGGTGAGTTCAACTGGCACACAACCTGCAATGATAGCATGTCACACCCTTGAGTATCTTGGGTCACCCGCCTGATGTATCAGGAGTCCTTAGGGCCTCACCTTCCTGAGACAGCCAGAAGGAGCTTGCTTGAGCCTAGTTGAAGGACAGGGAACCTAACAGCCCTCTGGATGCTGCAGGAGTATGATGGTCATTTCCCCACCCATTGACTGTGCTGGGTGGACTAATGGAAGCTGGAGTCCAACAAGATCTATAGGGTCAAAGATTGCTTGCCTGTTTCAGCCCAGTAACTCAATGACTGGGCCTTGAAGCTCTGCCTAGGGAAGAGGAGAGTCCCATTCCTGAATACTTGCCCTTTAATCCTGTTGGGGACTTGGGCACAATCTCATGCTGGCCTGATGTGACAAAGTGCTGAAGAGCATGCACTGGCACTCTCTGGTTCACATCTCACCTCCACCAAGAGGTCACTAGGAGGCCTTAGCAATCCATGTCTAAACCTATTTCTGCTCTCAGATATGCCAGGCGAAGTTGGCCTACCTTGCAGGGTTGTTAGGACTCCTGAGGTACATAGGGCTTCTTTAATGCTTAGTGTGACATGGAGGATTTTTTCTAAATAATGCTGCAACATTGACCAAAGAGTGCCGTCTCTAACTTGTGTTCTTGCATTTGCTGTAGGAGATCATGCATGCCCTGAAGATGACTTGGCATGTCCAGTGCTTTATCTGCGCTGCCTGCAAAACGCCCATCCGCAACCGTGCCTTTTACATGGAAGAAGGGCAGCCTTACTGTGAGAGAGGTATGGAGGGAGGTTGCTGTACTATTCATCTAAAATTGCTGGCTGGGGATAAGGGAGGTTGTAATCCAGTGCATCTGCAGAGTGCCGTTCTGAGGAAGGTTTGCCTGAGAGTAATGGGGCTTTGTGGACTGCCTTTAATTACATTGGTACACTGAAGGTATATTATGAAGGCTGCAAATTTCTCCTAGAATGGGATTTGCTCACCAAAGCAATCTTCTTCAGAAAAGAATAGAGGGCCAGGTAGGGAACATACCATAGAAAAGATTTCTATCCCTCAGTTCCTCATTATGGGCTTCAAGAGGTAGTAGGGAAGCAAACTAACTGTAATGGCATCCTCCTCTGACCCTTGCCTAGCTGCCCCCTTGGTGATGGTTGCCTGGCAGTGCCACTTCTGCTGGGTTGCCATGGAGATGGTAGAGCAGTACCTGCATCACGAAGCCAGCTACTGAGCATCCTGGGAAATGTTGTTCTCTCCTTTCAGCTGTTACTGACAAACGTTGCCCTTTTCTGGAATATTCCATTCAGAGGTTTGTAGGGGGAGATCAGGCTTCAGAACTGAACCTCTATCCTCCACCCCACCCCCATTATCCGTTGCTGTGAAAAGGTCTGAAATTCTCCCAGATGAATGAACAGCTGCCTTTTATCACAAGTGGGTGGGGTGGCGAAGGGCGTGCAGGATTCTTAGCAGCATGGGTAGCCTTGCTTGACATGACAGTGAGGGTTGTCTGCTGTCTCCTCTCAGAGTCTTTGGCCTTCCAGGCCAAGCGGCCCCAAAGCAACATTTATAGTATCTTTTGGTTAGCTCAGTGAGGGCCCTGATTAAAACAGCAGAGCCATATATGGGCTGGAGGTGAGGGGGGAATAGGGGGAGAATAAAGGCTACACAAACGGAAGGGGACCTAAGGACATGAACAGCACTGCTGTGGATCAGACAGAAAGACATTAGTGGAGCTATCCTATTAGAGCAGAATAGAGCCAGTTCTACTCAAAGCATTTGCCGTTGAGGTCTGGGCACAAAGCCAGATGAGGGTTTGGATTAATTTTCAAGAGTTTCTCATGCTCACAACACAGTAGAAGGGTGGTCGTTCAATGGTAGAACTCATGTTTTGAGATAGGCCCCAGACCCCTACAGTAGGTCCCAGGTCCAATTCGTAGCATCTCCAGGGAGGGGGGAAACCCTGTCCGAAAACATAAAAGAGTTATAGACAGTCAGTGGAGTGGCATACTTGCTGTGCTCAAGGTTGCTTGCTCTGCTGCTAGCTGCTCCGTTGACATGGCCCTCCAGCCCTCCCAGTCTTCCCTTTCCTGCTGTGAACAGTTTGTGCTGTGCCAGCGCAAGCAGAGACCTTTTCCTAGCTTGTCTTCTGGAACTTGAATGTCTTGGTTTAAGCGCAGTATCTTATCCTTTCCCCATTACCCATCAAGACTATGAGAAGATGTTTGGAACAAAATGCCGTGGCTGTGACTTCAAGATAGATGCTGGTGATCGGTTCCTGGAGGCGCTGGGCTTCAGCTGGCATGACACTTGCTTTGCGCAAGCAGAGACCTTTTCCTAGCTTGTCTTCTGGAACTTGAATGTCTTGGTTTAAGCGCAGTATCTTATCCTTTCCCCATTACCCATCAAGACTATGAGAAGATGTTTGGAACAAAATGCCGTGGCTGTGACTTCAAGATAGATGCTGGTGATCGGTTCCTGGAGGCGCTGGGCTTCAGCTGGCATGACACTTGCTTTGTCTGTGCGGTAAGCCCATCTCCCCCTGCCCCACCCCCACCCCACCCCACTCTCCCCCACATGCATACTGGCGGATCATGACTAATCTAGCTGTACAAGAGTCTTGGCCTGCTACATTTCATCTTCTTTTGTGATAAAAATGGCCTGAGGCATTGCTCCCAAGCAGGGGCGCAGATTTTCTTGCCACAGAGCTTGTTATACATGGAGGGTTCTTTCCCTGATGGCTCTGAAAGGAGAGCCCACTTGTTTTAGCTTGTATAGGTTTCCCTCTTATTCATTGCCTTGTGGCAAGCAATGCCGGTGCCTCCTGCTGATGGAGGACAAATAAATTTTAGCAGGCAACAGATGTCAGGATGAAGCTGTGTGTTGGCTCACTGGGCGGCTTCGGTGGCATTGCCCTTCATCTTTGTCCTATGAATGAGCTGGGAGGCGGTGGGGAGCGAGTGTGAGAGAAAGAGAGAATGGCTGGTACTTGCCTCACTAGTTTCCTTTCCTTCTTCACAGATCTGCCAAGTTAACTTGGAAGGAAAAACATTCTACTCCAAAAAGGACAAGCCCCTGTGCAAGAGCCATGCTTTCTCCCATGTGTGAGGGATGAGGAGAATGGGGGGAGAAGAGAGGACCCCATTGCCCAAGCTGTTTCTCACTCTAAGCACTGTACCTCCATCCCCACGCCTTGCCCTGTTCTTACACACACACACAAACACAGAGAGAGAAAGAGAGAGAGAGAATGGGTCCAGGCCGTTCTCTTGACAATCATTTCCACTGAAGGGTGGAACACTCAGGATTCTCTTCAGTATTTTGGGAGGATTTAGTTACATGGCTTTAGAACATTGCCTTCTCTTCTTCTTTTTTAAAGTAGAACTCCATTCTGTGCAAGCTCTGAGTGATGGGGCAGGATCATCACTACACTTCCTATGCTGTGAAGCCATAGTGTCATTAATCAGAAGGAACTGCCAATAGTTTTGTCGCTCTTGGGGCCAGCTGCAGCCAAAGAAGGGAGACCTAGAATATTACTGTTTACCTGAAAGATCCCAAATGCTAGTTCTGTTGTAAAATAGGCAACACCTGAGACCTGGCCCTCCTTTTAGCTCATTTTCTAAACAAGTGTGAACATTTATGGTTACGCCCTTGGGAATGATAGCAATCCGCAAAGCCTGATCCTGGATGTGGCTCACTCCAATTAATTCCCACCACCTTTGAAAAACAACCATCACATTCTCTTCCTCTTTGCCCTGACCCTTCCGAGGAAGCATTGCAAAGCATTTTTATCATCCATGCTGGCTCAGTGTCACACTAGTCTGTTTGCCCCTTGTCTGTGAGTACCTGTTCTCACCTTTTAGTGGCAGGAGCCCATTCCAGCCATGCTGCCCTATTGACACTTCCCACAGTGAAGACTAATAAAAGACCACAGAGCAAGAAGACCCCTGTCCCCAGGAATAAAGCAGCGACGTGTTCAGGATAGAGCATCGTACTATAAGTTCCAGCAGAGCAAGTAAAAAATAATTCTAAAATGCCATGGAGAATGGAGGCACTGCAGTATCCAGTTTCTTCACACCAGCAAAAACTGCTTCTCCCACACCCACACCCACACCCATACCCACCCACCCACACACACACAGAGCATACATACAGTGTGGCATCTGCCCGTAGCTTGAAGTCCCTCAGCCAGAACTGACATGGAACATTGCTACCAAAGAGTCATTATTTCTGTTTTGCTCTAAATACGTTTCCCAGAACTGTACTGTCCGCCTGGGAGTCTGATTTTTTTTTGCTCATCTTGGTGGTGCTTTCAGTGCCTAATAAAATATTTTAATTCTTTGCCACCTAAGCGGGTTCCATTTATTTCTGAGCCTATGGAGAGCAGAGTGTGGATGTTGAGGGTCAGAATAGAGAAACTTAGTGCAAACTGTGGATAAGCTAGAGGTGAGGTCTTTAAAAACAAAACTAGTCCTGTTTATTTCCCCTCAACCCAGACACCAGAGGGGAGCGGTGGAATCGAAACAGGTGTTTTTTTTTCATGGGCATAACAGAACCTTGGTTCAGAAGCTCAGTGTTGCTGTGTGTATGTCGGAAAGCAATCCACTACAGAACGTCTTTGAGTGCAGTAGCTGTGTTCCAGTTCACAGTGTGTTGGGAGAGATGGTTGGCAGAAGCAAACTAGAATCACCTGAATTGGCAGGAAGTGCTTGTCAGAGCATCCTCCTGTCACAAGTGGCCTGGGAAAGTGTCCAGGAGTTTTAATTTCATCATACCTCTATTGCTATTGACCAGGCTTAATGAAAAGCTGGGAGTCATGGGTAGGAACATGTTCAGTGTAAATAGGAAAGGCCTGCTAATGCAGTGGACATTCAGAGATGTAGGAGATTGCTGGGTAGAATGACCACAGTTGAAAATGTTCTTCTTTAGTAAAAACCACATGGCTATTTTTACCTTTACCTTTTCCTCATCCCTGATTCTTCTTTTTTTAAATGTCTCATTTTCATGCCATTGGTGACAACTTGAGGAAGACTTTCATGTGCTTCCTTCTTTGAGACCTTGATGCGAACATAGGGCCTCTGTGATCTCTGCTGTTTTGTTGAGTTTCTTTCTGTGCCTGGCCTTTCTTGTGACTTCTGTTTTGGTGGCAGATAGTTCTGTACTTGGCGAGAGAGACTTCCTCACCATTTTCAGTATTCACTAGACAAGCCAGTTCGTTTGTTCTGCTTTCTTGCTTAGATTTGTCTTCTGGGTCAAACATTAGGATGGAGGCTTTTGTCCTGCCCTGTATCTTTTGGGATTGTTTGTCTGCTCCACTCGGGGAGAACTTTTTTTCTTCTTCTTCTTCTTTCAGAGATACCAAGTGTATGTTCATTAAAAGGAGTACATATTTGCAGGCAGGCAAAGCATCATCAAGGTTTCAGACTAGATTAATTCTTTGGGGACATAATTGCAAGGAAAGTAATTAGTTGATAATCTATAATAAGAGTTTAGGGCAGATGGAAGCTTCAGCCAGACACCATTCATAAATTGCTGCTTAGGTATATCACTCTCAGGATTTCTGTTTTGGGGGAAATGAATATAATGAATAGTTTTGTAGAGTGTTCTGGTAAGGTACTTAAACTGTGTGCATTAAGTTCTGGAAACCCCTGGCAGGAACTGGTGAACAATAACACCTGAAGCAGCAGGGCTTAATCTATGTACTCCTGGCACATATAGATTTTGTGAGGCTTCTCTGGCATCTAGGCTGGGTCACCTCTGCAAGCTGTTCAGGCTGAGCGCACTGCTGGCTGGGAGAGCAAGGTGACTGAGAAAAGAAATGCACTGCTAACGAGGGGGGGGCAGTCCTCACACTTGGAGAATGTTAACACCTACTTCTCAAGGTGCCATGACAGCCCGGCTGTTGGCAGTGCTATATAGGAGTGAGGCTGTTTCTCACTTCAAGGTCTTAGAAAATGGCTCAAAGAAAGAAAACCCATCGGAAATCCTTCCAGAAAGAGATACTTAATAGATTGACAGAATCAAATGCTGGTGGGCTAATTTGAAACAGGATTTTAGGTAATATTGATGGTGCTAGTCTTTCTGATGTATCTCGCCATGGGGAGAACAATGATTATTACTGTACAGAATTACTCAGTATTTCAATTAGGATGGCTGCTTATTTCCATCATCCAAAACATGGTCCTAAGGATACTATGGTCACTATTAGTCCTAGTGTCAAAACGGGACAGCCCACATACCATGTGGCTTCCTTCCTTCCACCTTGTACTCTCAACCTTAAGGTGCTTTTTTTTTTCCAGACTGTAATGCATGAGATGAAATTCCATGGATTGCAGCAAGACCCTAACGAAAATGTCAGTTGAAAACTCTTGATGCCAAACAGAAACCCTGAAGATCTTAATGCATTTGGGGTCATTGGTGGTGCTTCGGCTGCTCTTACCATTTCATTGTTCCAGGACCAGGTGCCTCTTCATTGTGTGGTGCTGCAACATTGGTCTTTCTCAGCTGGGGTGATGGGCATAGTTGAACAAACCATCTGAGGGGCACAAGCTTGGGGAAAGCGCAATGAAGGCTTCTTGGCCATTCCTCTTAATCGGTTTCTGGCATTGGAATTGGGAGCTGAGGGCTGGAGCAGAATGTGAAATCCTTTTCTAGGCCTCTTGAACAGCTATCGATAACAATCGTGTCAAGCTCTTTTCTGTGATAACAGTGCCCTTGAGCATTTACAGAGTTCTTTCCTGGATGAGGTCATCATCCCCAGCATATTTTTCAGTTAAAGGTGGGGGGAAGAGAGAGAGAGAGAGGCCTTCTTCAGAGGTGTTCCGTCCTGGCTTGCCTAACTTGGCAAATGTGAACCCGGCGGTGCAAGACCGGCTCAGATTTAACTTTCCGGCGTGCTCCCTCTCTCTCGTCCTTCAGCGGAACGTGGCAGGTCCCTCATCGTCCTGCTTCGCAAAGCGCCTCAAGTGATCCGACTCAAGATGGCTGATCCCAAGCATCCACATGTGGACAAATCGAGGAGGAGGTGGGTGGTGGTGGTGGTGGTGGTGCTGGCGAGAGATGGCCGAGAGGAGGAGGAGGGGGGGGAGGCAGAGTTCCGGCCGGCGCTAGGACCGGGCGCGCTCGCACGCAGGCGGAGCCTCCGCTCCTCGCCCGCCCGGCTCCCTCCACTCGCCGCTCCTGCTGCAGTGTCTGGGAGGCAAGCGGGCAGGCGGCCTGTCTCCTCTATCCGAGCGCGGCTTCCCCGCTAACCCTGACCGAGTCCCCGAAGCAGCATCGCCCACCACCGCCGCCGGCATGGCTGGCGTCAGCTTCGGCGCGAACCGCCTGGAGCTGCTGGCCTCGTATCAGGAGGTGATCGGGGAAGACAACGCCACCGACTG